AAGACGTCTAACTCACATGTTTTTTTTTAAAAAAATCAATTATTTCATTAACATTTATTATTTTTGCGATACAAATTTCTCAATGTAATTTTCATCATTTTATTAGGAAATTTTCAAAAAATTTCGAAACTTTACATCCAAAAAAGTCATATCCCATGAACATTTTTGAATGTAAAATTACATGGAGTATGATTTTTTTGGACGTAAATTTTCGATTGTAAAATTTCTACCAACTTTTTTACAAGTTCGGTTGTGCCCCCCAACGTTAAAGTTCTGCGTCCGCCCCTGTTCGTGGGGCTAAAAATCATAGTTAACAGTGGTTGATTACCTATAATTTCACTTCAAATCAGGTATATGGCCAGAATCTAAGAGTTTTAGCGACGAAGGGATGGGAAAAGTTCCACTCAGGTGGAAAGGAATTTGCGAATCTGGAGATGCCTTCAACTCATCTAACTGTAATAAGTGAGTTTATTAGTTTCCCTGATAATATAATTCTATTATTAATATATTTGTGTAAATTAGTCATAATAATGAAAGAAAATTGTATAAATTTTTTGTTGAATAAGTTCTATATCTATGCACTTTCAAATACATAATTTAAATCCTTGAATAAGTTCTTTTTTTTTTTTCATAATTTAAATCCTTGAATTAGAAAATAAAAACTACAAATGTGATTTATACTTACCAAATTTGTAGGAAGATAATTGGTGCACGATACTACCTTAAGGGTTACGAAGCATACTACGGCCCTCTCAACCGAACAATAGATTACAAGTCCCCTCGTGACAAGGACGGGCATGGAACACACACATCATCAACTGTAGGAGGCCGGTTGGTTCACAATGCTTCGGCCATAGGTGGATTCGCTGGAGGCACTGCTTCGGGAGGTGTCCCACTTGTTCGACTCGCTATGTATAAAGTCTGTTGGGCAGTTCCAGGAGTAGAGAAAGCAGAAGGCAACACGTGCTTCGAGGAAGATATGCTAGCAGCAATGGACGATGCGATTGCAGATGGTGTTGATGTGATGAGCATTTCCATTGGCACAAGCAAACCTGTTCCATATACTGAGGATGGTATCGCTGTTGGGGCTCTTCATGCAATGAAGAAAAACATCGTAGTGTCTTGCAGCGCGGGGAACTCAGGTCCTAATGCGTCTACATTGTCAAATCCGGCTCCCTGGATTATCACAGTTGGTGCAAGCACCCTAGACAGGGAATTTATATCATCTGTTGAACTAGGAAATGGGATGAAAGTTGAGGTAAAATGAGCAAAGGAATCTGAAAATCTCGTTTCAACGATATTGTCAAGTATTTTTAATTGAATTTAATCATTTCAACTTTTGATATTAAAATCAGGGACAATCAGTAAGTCCATACACCCTGGAGAAAAAGATGTATCCATTAGTTTATGCAGCACAAGTTCTAAACCCTGATGTCCCGAAAAATGAATCCGGGTAATCAATCTCTCCTCATTCTTTTAAATTATGTAGAGTCTAATCATTGTATAAGTCTACTGTTTCTGCCAGTTTATTATTTCTCTCTATACAAAGAGATTAGTCCTTAATCCCTAAGACTTCCTTACATTTTAAAGCGATTTTATTAGCCGATTAATTGAATTTCAATTATTTATTGTACAGCCAATGTTTACCTGGTTCGCTTTCTCCCGAGAAGTCTAAGGGAAAGATTATCTTCTGCATAAGAGGCGTTGGAGCAAGAATTGGAAAAGGTTTAGAGGTGAAAAGAGCAGGAGGAATTGGTATGATCTTAGGAAATAGTAAAGAAAATGGAGATGTATTAGACCCTGATTCTCATTTTCTTCCTGCAACTGGTGTCACTCATTTTAGTGCTGTCAAAATCTTCAAGTACATATTCTCCACAAAAGAGCCAATGGCTTATATACTTCGGGGTACAACAGTCTTACACACCAAGCCAGCACCAACTATGGCCATCTTCACGAGTCGAGGCCCCAATACAGTTTCACCCGATATTCTCAAGGTAAGTAAAGACAAGTTCTCCATTCCTCGGTTAATGTCTTTTAACTTACCTTCTAGAATAGTAACTTTTGAATACAGCCAAACACACTAGGTTTTGAATACAGCCAAACACACTAGGTTTGACATTGCAATAGTCAAAGTGTGTGGTCACTAACTTAGTGATCTGATCAGGTTCAGTTTTAATAACATTGCTAACGTGTGATGGCTTCGTTTGACAGCCTGATATCACGGCTCCAGGAGTGTATATATTGGCTGCATGGAGTGAAGCATCGTCACCAACAAAATTAGACATAGATCATCGAGTAGCTAAATATAAGATCTGCCATGATAACCTCAGGTACATTTATGTCATTCATTTCAAATTGTCACAATTTTTTCTAGCTTTGATAGACATATCTTTTATAATTGTGGAAACTTCAAAAAGGCTAGTGTTCGACGCGTTTTGAAAATTGAAAACTTAGAAAATACACTAAATAGTTCACTAACCTCCCCACTAATGAAAGTTGACAAAGAAACCTCAATTTTTCTGTGCCCTAATTCCTCAACTATTTTTGTTTCTCTTATTTGTGAAATTGAACTGTTTTTGTCCATTCTTGTAACCATTATTTCCGTAGAAAGAAAGACTCATTGCACAATTTGAGTCCAAGACAATATTTCGAGCAATTTGAACTGTTTTTATGTTTCCGTTTCAATGCTACCTTATATTTAACATTTTCACCTTCCAGCGGAATTGCGTAACAACGAAGGTAACCTCATAACGGATATAGCCGGCAATCCAGCGGATCCTTTCCAATTCGGAGCAGGACATTTCCGGCCAACAAAGGCAGCCGATCCAGGACTCGTCTACGACGCATCATATACCGATTATCTTCTCTTTTTATGCAGCAGTGGAATAAAGAATCTCGACTCTTCCTTCAAGTGTCCAGAAAATCCGCCCCATCCTCGAAACCTAAACTATCCATCCGTCGCTATTCCAGAGTTAAAAGGCACCGTGACAGTCCAGAGAACCGTCACTAATGTTGGAAGCAGTAGGGGTGTGTACTTCGCTAGTGTTAAACCGCCGCCGGGATTCAAGATCGAGATATCGCCGCCCATTTTGTTCTTTCACAGTGTTGGGCAGAAGAAGAAATTCAGCATTACTGTGAAAGAAGACAGTGAAATGGTGGGAAGCATGAAGAAGGATGAATATGCGTTTGGATGGTACACCTGGTTTGATGGAATCCATAATGTTAGAAGTCCCATTGCAATTTCGATAGCGTAGTTTTTTTTTTTTTTTTACATTTGGCTATACGTTGTTGAACTTTTTGACTCTTTTCGTGTTGATGTCTAGGCAGTTCTAAAAACATTGGTTTTTGCTTCCTTTTGTTCATGTTTTCATTGTTTTTTGGAATAGTAGAATTGTACAAAATAGGATACTTTGAAAATAAGTGACTTATTACTTTTAGTTTAATCAATAAAATTTCGTTTATTTCCATTACTTATTTACTTGTAAGTAAATCTAGTTTTAAGTTTGTTACCCATAAGATAAAATAAAGACCACACGTGACACTAATTAGACTACGTGGCCAATTATCCGAGGGGGGCCACGCCTTACATAGCGGTGGGGACAACCCTCTTATAAAGAGGAGAGCCCTTCTCCCCATAGAATGAGGTTGGATCGACCCCATTTGGGTAGACCCCCATGCAAGAACCGGTCCTGACAAGACAGTTGCAAGATCTTTAAACAGGTCTTGAGGCGAATGATTGATAAGACAATTCACTGCCACCGTCGCCTCGCACACCTATACGGTCAAATTTAGATTGCCAAGCTAGGACTCATTGATACGAAAATGGCTCAAGCATTTAATGCCTTGATTAATTGATGTATGTGACAAGAACGATCAATCAACCTGAGGCCACGTGTCCTATCATCCGACGGCCCTCATTTGTTTTGCTCAAGTATAAAAGTTCACACTAAGTAATATTAAGGGGTAATGCAAGTTTAGACTATTAAGCTATATTCTTGCTACACACATTTTCAGCTAACTACTCCCAAGCCGACCCCCTTTTTGATTGATTGGAGGCTCACGTTCAAAGCTATTACATACCCTAAATCATTCCTCTAGTTGACTTGATCGTCGGAGAAGGCCACATGCAACCAACGGTTTGTCCAAGTGTACCAGAATTGAGCTTACATGGACGTGAGAGGTCTTGGAATCTGTTGACCACTTCATGGGTATATTTTTTGGGGTCAACAAAGTTCACTTTTCAAGATTAGCCAATGATACAATCTTTCACTTCTTGACTCGAAGATGAACACTTGAGAAGTGAACGTTAGAATGAAGAAAACAGCTAAGAAAACTGTGGCGTTCAGAAAATAGAAAAGATCAATGTATTGGCAGCAGAAGCAGCAAGATAAGAAGCAATAAAAAGATTCAAGAAGGGCCAATAAAGTATAATAAAACCAAATCATTCTATATCATTAATTTGTCCTCCATAAACAAAATTACCCACAACAATTTCAAATCAAAAGGAAAATCAAGAAGCTAATTGAATATCTCCAATCTCCAACTGAGCAGCAATTTCTTCAAGCTGCGTCTTCACACTCATGTCAATCAGTTTGGACCCAGAATTTCCATACCTTATGGTGAATCCAGCCACCAGTGAAGGGTCAATTACGGTTTTGATTCTCACATTCTTTGCGCCAGTCAATTTCTGCACTTCTTTCGCGATCTGGGACAAATGCTGCGACTCCAAATCCACCACTGAAGTGACAATTGCGAGTTCAGTATCCGTCAATTTGTTGTAAATAACTTCGAATTCCTTCACAATGTCCTTAATCAACTCAATTCTCTTCATGTCAACGAGAATGTTGAGGAAGTTGACGACATGGGGCTGCAGGCTTGAAGATTTGGCGATTTCGTCGACTATTGCAATCTTCTTCTCTTCATCTATGGTGGGGTTTGTGAAGAAATTTAAGACATCTGGATCGGAGAAGAATTTCTCGAGTTTTTCGATGTCTGCAGTGGTTTGCTCGAGGGTGTTGTTGGATTTCGCGACATCAGATAGGGCAAGGGCATAGCTTCCGGCAGCAGAGTCAGCCATTCTGGCTCCAGATGCACCGCCTCCGCCGCGGTTACGACGGAGTAGGGGCTTGATTGTGAGTTTCGGGAGTTTGACGCCAGTAGTGAGGAAGAATTTGACATTGGGTCTGGAACGGAGTTGGGCGGAGGGTGGCGATCGAGACTGGAAGGTGACAGGGGTATGTTGCAAAGCGGCTGCGGTGGCCATTGCTAACACGGTGGAGGAAGAAGGGGAGAATAGAGAGAGGGAGAGAGTGAAGGAGAGGGAATTTGGATATTACAAATACGCTGATGGGATTTTGATAGGAATTAACGGCACAGATTGAAGAGAATGAGATGATTTACGGTGTATATTGAACTTATTATCTTGTGTGTGTGATTGTGGAGGAGGATGGTATCTTATCTAAAGGGAATAAGAAATTAACACGTGTTCGGCTAACATAGTCCACATTGACCTTCAACATTTTTATTTTGACACCGATAACGTTCAAGAGTTACGTTAATAGTACAAAAAAAACTTTCACAGAATTGTTACAGAGTTACATTTAGTGTATTATCATATATTCTTCTCAAAAATCACTTACAAAGGCGCCATACAGACGTTGCCAACACAGCACTTGTAAACTGCCCGTGAAAAAATCCTTCTACGCAGAGAATAATTCTAATGTTCAAAGAAAGATTGGTTTAGATTCCAATCATTTCAATCGGCGTACTTAATTGAAATTTTAATGAATTTTAAAAGTTTTTCTAAATTTAAGTATTCTCGAGATTTTAATGAATTTATAAGTATTTTATTAATATTGGGATTTTAATGAATTTCAAACTTAAAAATACATTAATAAAAAATCTTTTGAAATTGCACTATTTTAATGAGATTACATCCAAAGTGTTGAGAATGTTCAAGTTGGTCCCAAAACTTCTCCAAAAATGTTTCTTCAATATGAACAGATTCTAGTACAAGACAATGTATCTCAGCAATTCCACTTATCAATTCTTGAAATTATTTATTAAAGCACGTGTTGAAGAGGTTTGTGTATCACAGGCATTAACCGGATAATTATTCAAAATGGAAAAAGAAAATGTCAACTTGCTCTAAGGAATTTGAATTACATGCATGATTCACGCCATATTTTCCAATTTTTGAGGTTTTACAAGGAAACAACAGTATGGATTGACCTTAAGTGGTTGCTTCGGATCAACTTAAGGATGTGATTTGGTCGAGACCTATTGCGCGTGCTCGGGTATACTTTAAAACAAAATAATATAAATTTCAAAGCATAATTCAAATAAATGTTGTGCATTCGTTCAACATATGCAGAAGAAGTTTTTAATAAAATCCGAGGAATAGGCACTAAACTGTATAATTATTTTATATAAAATGGACAATTAAAGAAAATGTCGACGGGCTTTCTGGAATTTGAATAATATGGATGACTCGCTCCATATGTTCACAAGTATTAAAAATAGTTATACTTTTTCTTGTTCCAAATGCCGGCCAGGATACACCTAACTGAGAAAGTGAAATTCGG